ATTTGCAGAGCAAATTATGAGAGAAAAATTACAAACTACGCGTGCTTTTAAAACCCTCTACATGAACTGTGTTTTCAACGATTTGCACGTGCAACAGGCTTTTAGCATTTTGTACATGACAATTTCACACTTTCTCAAATAACACGGATACAAAGGTCATCATGTGTGAAAATGGTTCCGTTTGGGAGCTTATACTGATCAGATGGGAACGTATTAACAGTATTTTGACGAAAATTCTAATTTACATTCACCATTTTTATTCTAGAAATGATGTCAGATATTTAGATAGGGGTTGCGTTTCTTTTTTGAGAGAGTGTATTTGTTAAATGTCTACGGTATATAATGGCGAGAGACCGGTCACGTCAACGGAAAGCTGACGTTCATAATAATATACATATTTGAACTTAACCTCTGACATCTTCACATTCCTGGGTAAACCCTTGGAAATATATGGCACAACTAGATACAGAAACGTTGATATTTGGATACTGCTAGCCCCTCAACTCTCCTGAAACCTTAATTCACATTCGTGACCAACTCATGTTATTCCGGTTTCCCAGGCCAGATTAGCCCCTGCCCACATTAAACCCGGGTATAGTTTGGTCCAGGCCAGAGTATACACCGGGGATAAACTGTCCCAGGCCAAACTATACCCGGTGTGCAAAACAGCCTAGGCTAGACTATGCCCCTCCAGACCAGAATATACCCCTCGTGTGTAACAATGCTTTGACTGTATTTACACAGAAAATTAAACAACCACAAACATTTTGATGTTGTTATCAGGGTTTAACATGGTACATTTACACATACAGTAGTGAGTACTTAGAAGCTGAACTTTCAGGACTTTATATATGTTATCACATCATGAACAGAAAAGGTTAATTGAGCGATTTTTTTTCACAATTGTGTTTTTGGAACATACATTATGTTAATATGAGAACAGTACTGACAAGTGTACTGCTCTCCCAATGATATAATTTACAGAGAGCAGAAGGGGTAAGGAAGGGATGTTGCGGGTGCAAGGATCAACTTCTTGTACAGAAAATGATTTTTGAAGAAGCTAAATATGTCAGAGCAACGTCTCCATGTGCTGGATTGACTACGAAAAAGCATATGACCCTGTCCCTCATGAATGGATTCTGAAATCTCTTCATTGTATTGACCTCTCTGAGCGACTACTTTAATTTACTCAAGTCTTTAATGAGTTGCTGGTCGACTTAACTTGAGATTTACTCGCAAGGGCAGGTGCAGACGTCGCAATCTATTTCGATCAGAAGGGAAATATTTCAGGGGGACTCCTTCAGTCCTTTTTTGTTTGTCTCTAAATCCTTTGAGCTTTCTGCTCAACAGAGAGAAGGGATACCATCCCGGACCTCCTCAGCACAGATCCCCAACGCGGCTTACTCATCTCCTTTACATGGATGACATCGAGTTCCTTGCCAAAGGAGATACCAATTTGAAACAACAGGTTCTCCTTGTCGAGTCCTTTTCTAACGATATTGGCATGACAAATAAACTCATTGGCTTTATCAAAGAGGACAAGATCAGGTTTGTTGGCTGGAATCTTTGTGAGGCTGTATATGGGCTTATTCCAATGAAGTTTGAAAGCATCATTTTCCATGACGCCCTGGACATGTTCAGGGTCGTACTATGGATGGACCTCGGAGTCAAAGCCACAGGCATGGCGAAGACGATAGTAGAAGCAACAAGCCATGCCATCATGTTTTTTAAGATATGCTGTTTGTGCCAAGGAAGGGCATCCACTGACAAGGTGTTGGACAGTCTCTGCAAATTCATTGCAAAATCGACATGTAATATTGATATTTTCTTTAAGAATCACATTTTGGCGATTGCGAGTGGGAAGTGACTGGTCCTGGCCATGGGCAGCAAAAAGGAGCCCTCAGTTTCACATTTAAGACCAGCCGACTTCATCCAGGCGAAGGTGTCGGTTGGATTGCTATTCTGTTCCACACACTGCATGTACACACGATTCTAGCCTAGGCCGCTTTAATCCCGGGTATAGTTTTGCCTAGGTTATACTATGGCCTGTTACACCGGGACAAGCCGAATAGCAGCACGTGTCCCTCTGGAACAAAAAAGACCCAGTTTTCTGAACTCGCATGTTACTCGCTGCCACCGGACTGTTGGAATTTAAACTGAATACGTTGAAAAATAAGAAGGATGCCAGAAGCGTCAGACTACACTATCCCCTTTGAAATGTAAGCAGATTGTTTTAACTCACTCATAGCTATTTTTGATTAGATTATGTAAAATTGTTGGAAAGCGCACGTACAATCTCAAGAAGCCAGCGCACAAGACCGTCCACGAGAACACTGTTATGTAAACAAACGCACGTGTGTGTACTTGAATCTCTCACTGTTCATGGCCCTTTCCTTCAATTTAGGCAATACCAATCTGTTGGCTATGTTCTACCTGATGTGAAAATACATACATACATACATACATACATACATACATACATACATACATACATACATACATACATACACACACACACACACACACACACACACACACACACACAAACATACATACATACATACATACATACATACATGCATTCATACATATATATGTGTGTGTGTGTATATATATATATATAATGTATGTGTATATGGAATAATATATATGAATGTGTATAGAATGTATGTCTTATTAGGTTATGTAAACATTGTTGGAAAGCGCACGTAAAATCTCAAGAAGCCAGCGATATATGAGAATTAACGTGCTGTTTTTACGTTCTATACTCAGATGTTGTTAAGCTGTTTATTAAAAGTATTATCATCTAAAAGTAATGCCGCAAATGGTTGCAAAATGCTTTTTGGCTTCAATATCAATATGATGAATTTGACACAAGATAAAAGCACATATATGACACATGTACGACGCTACCTAGTTGGATATTAAAGCTCAGATGAAAAAATGCACTTGAGGGGTGACTTCACAGGAGGAAATTTTGACGTTTTAACAACATTCGTAAATATTCTAAGTACAAACTGTAGTTTTGAAATACAGACTATAATTATTCATATAGCCTCAACTAATAAAATTACATAAATGATTGTAAAAAGTTTTGTTCTTTTGAACATCTATATGTGAAAAAGATGGAACTCTTCTAGTAGTTATATTCAAAATAATTAGAAGTTTCACTTCGTGTATGAGCACTGAACTGGCAACAAGCGACTTGATATTTCTGCAAAATAATTAATTGTTCTGCAAAACAATTCATACTGGAGAATTTTACAAAGGGGGAACCTCTCGTTAGCTATGACAGGGTTTACTATAGAATGTGTAAAGCCCTTAATTTGACATGTAGTCAGGTTTAGAAAGTTGTAAACAAATAAGTTACCCCAGGGGTCGTGTCAAAATCAAAACCAGGTAGGAAACACAAACTGGATAGCTTTGATAAGGGTGTCATACGCCGTGCAGTTTATAAACTGTATGAACTCAAAATCATACCGACGTGTGCTTAAATACAAAATGAGATCAAAGATACATTAATCGTCTCAAAAACAACACTTATTGTAGCTCTGGTAGAAATGGGGTTCAGGTAGACCAAAAGGGGAGATGACAGAGCTATGTTTAGAGAAAAGTACTCAATCCTGTCCATGCGATCAGCTTATCTCAGAACAGTTGAAGAATACCGCAATTTGGGGTTTCAAATTATATACCTTGATGAAACCTGGTGTAATAAAAATCACTCAACCGATCGGAAGTGGCTTCCTTCTAAAGCACCAGTGTTACCATCAGGCAAAGGTAGACGCCTGATCATCTTGCATGCTGGTACCCGTAGCAAGGGACTGATTGGGGGTTGTGACTTTGTTTTTGAGGCCAAGAAATCTGATGGTGATTACCATAGCGAAATGAATGGGCAGGTATTTTGGGATTGGTTCGAACATCAGCTTTTACCGCAGCTGGACGAACCAAGCGTTATCATTTTGGATAACGTCAGTTACCATAACCTGTGTGTCCCTGGTACCATCTCACCCACCATGAGCAATCTCAAGGCTCAGTTGCAGGATTTTCTCACTTCCTGTATCATGCCTTACAGGCAATCAGAAACAAAGTCCCAGCTCATCGAAAAAATCCGGCAGCACAAATAGCCAATCCAGTACATCACTGACGAACTACCTGCAAAATAAGGCCACATAGTTTTGCGTACACCAGTACGGCACTGTGAGCTCAAGCCCATCGAGCTGATCTGGGCTCTTCTTATCAATCCTTACTGAAATTCATGCTAAAGAAAGAAACTCGTATTGTTTCTACAAACAATATCATGATAAAGTGTTTGAATGGCGCTATGACCATCGTGTAAGTAATATACTCCGAGACGTCCTGGCCCTAATATAACAGAATATATATATATGTTATGAGGAGGAGGAGATATTGGGTTTAACGTCGTTTAATATTTCGCTCATATGACGACGTGCATGCGTGTGTATGTGTATGTGTGGCTGCTTGTACTAGCCCAGACTGAAGCTGGCTTTATAGTGCTAGCCCACTGAGATACCAAGCCGCAGTGAAGCATGAATACCCCACTCAGACACATTATACTGACTCCGAGCCGACCAGTCCTTGTTGTACCCATTAATGCCGAGCGCCAGGCAGGGACCAACAAGTACCATATTGTAACGTCTTTTGGTATGACGCGATCGGGGATCGAACCCGCGACCTTCCCCTCTCCGGGCGGACGCTCTAACCACTACACCACGGAGGCGGTCTTTGATGTTATGATAGATGACAGTTGAAAATGGATACCACAGTTATAACCAGACATATATGATCGTTTCCGAAGCACCGATCTTACATTCAGTGAGTGGGTTAGTTGGATTTGACGCCGCTTTTAGCAATATTCCAGCAAATTCACGGCAGGTGACATCAGAAATGGGTCTCACGCGTTGTACTGATGTGGGAGTCGAACCCGGGATTTACATTAAGATAAACCAAACTAACAATCTAAAACAATGAAACACTACATACACAGTGTGTTCACATTTAATGTGTATTTCTACCTCAGGAAATTACATAGTTATGTCAACCGCTGAAAAACATGCCGTTTAGGTTTGGTTGAATGCCAGGAAACCGACCCATTGCCATCAGCTGTTGATTTGGCATAAACCGATTCTGGTTTGGGTTCAGACCAGTGACCATCCCATTCCTCTGCGTTTGTTGGTTCAGACGATTGCCTTGACCTTGAGGCGACCGTTGCTGTTGGAATGTAGATTGCATTCTGTTGCCTTGAACAGCGTTCTGATTAGAGTTACCTCCAATTACCGAGTTCATTTGACTACTAGATGTCGCTGCATTCTGAAAGTTAGCCTGATTGGACTGCATTTGATTGGCTGTTCCCGAAACCTGTTGCACTTGATTGGTTGTTCCCGAAACCGGCTGTATTTGATTGGTCGTTCCTGCAGGGGATGCTCCGTTCTGGGGTAGCGCTGATGGCGGGGGGAAGTTAGAAAGGATTTCATTTGCTTGCAAATCCAAGGAACCTCCTGATTGGCTGGGGGTACTGGCCGCCGATGAGTCCGAGATTGATGGTACCGCCGGAATCTCTCTGAGAGATTAATGGGGATATTTTTATAAAAAAGATATAATTCACATGAAAGGTACACAAGAAAACAATCATTGGAATTAATTCACAGGGTCCTGTAATGCACAATCAGCAAGGTCCTCCTCCACAATACATTAGGTAGCGCAAAGATTGTCGTACCTCCCACACCTTAACTGGTCGTAATTCCTTTACTTTGACATATTTACAATGGTCGTAATTCCTTTACTTAAACATACTTACAATAGTCGTAATTCCTTTATTTTAACATATTTACAATGGTCGTAATTCCTTTACTTTTACATACTTACAATGGTCGTAATTCCTATACTTTAGCATACTTACAATGGTCGTAATTCCTTTATTTACATACTTACAATGGTCGTAATTCCTTTACTTTTACATACTTACAATGGTCGTAATTCCTATACTTTAGCATACTTACAATGGTCGTAATTCCTTTACTTTAGCATACTTACAATGGTCGTAATTCCTTTATTTCAACAAATTTACAATGGTCGTAATTCCTTTACTTTAACATACTTACAATAGTCGTAATTCCTTTACTTTAGCATACTTACAATGGTCGTAATTCCTTTACTTTAACATATTTACAATGGTCGTAATTCCTTTACTTTTACATACTTACAATGGTCGTAATTCCTTTACTTTTACATACTTACAATAGTCGTAATTCCTTTACTTTGACATACTTACAATGGTCGTTATTCCTTTACGTTAGCATACTTACAATGGTCGTAATTCCTTTACTTTTACATACTTACAATGGTCGTAATTCCTATACTTTGACATACATACAATGGTCGTACCTCCCACACTTTAACATACTTACAATAGTCGTAATTCCTTTACTTTGACATACTTACAATGGTCGTAATTCCTTTACTTTAACATACTTACTATGGTCGTAATTCTTATACTTTGACATACTTACAATGGTCGTAATTCCTTCACCTTAACATACTTACAATGGTCGTCATCCCTCCACCTTAACATACTTACAATGGCCGTAATTCCTTACCTTGCGTTTTGTTATTACTGAGACTAGTTTCGACTTAACCATATGTGGCATGGTGTTCACGATACTACCTCATTCATTCCCTTCTGTGACTGAGAATATGTCCACCAACGCCTCTGATCAGTAGATAGTAGATAAACAGTCCCTTTATTTTGCACAGTATATACAAAGCTGATATTGGACGTTGTACTTATCCTGCACCACGTCACAACGGACACCTGTCTATCCCAAATTCCTGTCAAATCCGAACGGAAGTACACCGCTGAAGAAATAGGGATTTGTCTAACTGGTACATATTCCAGTTTGTGGTTGTATAAAAGACCTTAGCGCCAAGACTGGAGCACGGGTGTGATAATGTATGGGAGTTACACGTTACCCCAACAATGAGCAACGGAACCAAGGTAGATTTTAGTATACCACCGTCAATACCTACTTCCGAACTTCACACACTTCAACCCTCCAGATCCGATCTCTGAAATACAAAGAAACAACGTTTGATAAGTTCTTTGTTAGTGTGTTTATTCTTTAACCGTTCGGCGCCGAATTAATCGAACAATTCATTTAGAATAGAGATCCTCTGTGGTCTAGCGGATAGAGTGCCTGCCATATTGGCTGAAGGACTATGGTTCGATGCCCAGCCACGTCATTCCTACCGACATTTGAGACTTTTTATATGTACCCTGTATGATACCCGAAACTAAGGGATAAAACAAGGGCTGGGGGCTGTTGTGCAAAGCGCTCTTAGCACCCTACCCAAACATAGACTTATCACTGTCGAAAGGCTAAGGTTGCTTTGTCAGGCGCGTATCAAGCCAATAACTTTCGTGTAAGCCCGATAGGTTCCAAAGCTTTATATTTAGATAGTATTGAGGGCTTGCCCAACTGTCATGGTGATCTTTAGCAAACAACATGCGCAAGCCTGGGCTTTTTTATAATGGTATCTACGCCCCTGTTTGTACAACAGTATAACGATTGGTTCTGTTATTATATTGTGTCTGGGTGGGGTTCTCAGAAGCCTGTAGCAATATAAAAACGCCATTTGTCTGGAATATCACAATCAGCTACACACTGGCGTAAGTGCATGCGTCTCACGATATCTATTATCAGGAACGATGCCTGAAAAGGAATATATGTGCTGATGTTGTTAATTTTGTTTTAACGTTGAATTAAATGTGTCACATGCAAGTAGACATTATTTAAGAATATGATTACGTACTCCATTTCGTTGTCATGGAGACTGAAGACTCCTTTAATGACCTGGCCTGGTGGTGCTATGAAGTTCAAACCGCCATCGTAATCGTTGAGGAAGTCCACGAATTCACATGACGTCAAAAAGGAATCTACAACATGAGTGAGTGAGTGAGTTTAGTTTTACGCCGCTATCAACAATGTTCCAGCAATATGACGGCGGGGGTACACCGGAAATCTACAACATGAAGTGAATAAATACACACTGTTTATCACATATATTATATCCAATAAAATAGTGATTCCGGGTGCTTGGAAAACTGTGGTCATGCATGTGACCTCATTTAAAGTACAACACAGGTCGAGATCGATAGAAACGTTTTCGCTTGAAGGCAGCCATTCAAACTCATACAAATACAAAACGGGTTAATTTCAAATGCTGCGTTACGTTCTGGAATGAAACATATTTCTTCCTGTACATTATTGTGTCAGTGACCAATGCATCCAGTGCAGCAGGACGTGTTCTCGCGAACACCGGGTGTCATGACTGATTTTCAGTGATCAATTTAAACAATTTTCGTCACCATGAAATCAGTTTGGGTAGTTTAATCGATGATGTTATCTGGCACTGATGTTTTGAATTTAAAGCGCTTTGAATAATATTCAAGCTATATTTTCTTTGGAGAAACCCGAATTAACGAAGACCAATTTGATCTCAAGCTTAAAACATATGTGGGGGTTTGTGGAACTAAGGAGCAAGGGTATGATAAACCTAGACACAGAATCTTAGTGAACTGGGTTTCGACCCGGAGATCATAGGCCCCAAGGGAGGCAAGTCTACACAACGCATGTGTCGCTTCACACGACTGTGAGGGGTGTGCCCCCTTAAACATTACGGAGGCTCCATCGTTAGCAGTAAATAAAGTGAAGAAATATACATATGCGTCCAACACATTAACACAGCTGGATCGTCACATGGTGTTCATTTGATGTGAGGCTCAGCCGCTCTGATTACACATTCTCCAGGGAGGGGTGGAAACAAAGACCAAATCGTGCACAGAGGAAGAGATGGCTGTTGGTGTTGTTTTAATTCTGGGCTAGGCCATACAAATTAAATGTTTGTTTCTTTTGCTATTTTTTTTAATAGGTTTTTCAATTTTAACTATTTTGAAAAGTAGGTATTTTAATTTAGGAAAGTAGTATTAATACCAAAATAATATTTAGATGTTTTTTCATTCGATGAATCTCTTCATATCCTTATTTCGTTATGGTTGGCTCATGTCGAGTCTTTTGAGTCATTGGGAGGTCACACTTCACGAAAGGTCATTCTGACGTTATCCGTAAGCGTGATTGGATGTCCTGTTTGGTCTTTATTTAGAGGTAGCGGAAACTAATTTCTAATTTCATGAGACTGCAATTATGCCACTTGAGTAACAATGACGAACATGTAATTATATAAACACGAAATATAATTAGTTCTGTAGCAGAGAGTAGGTTTAAGTGACTTTTAACCACGAATACCATTACTTGTCATGAAGGGATTATTAAAAAAAATGTGCAATTGGGAATGGAAATAATTTTAACCTTCCCCGGAAAAGAATGTGTTAAGCATGCCAAAATGTCAGGGTCAGTTGATGACGGGAAACAAGCCACTGATTTTACATGGCCTTACACGTGGCTTCATGGATGACCCACCTCGGATCTTGCAGCAGAGGAAGCTAAAGCGCCTGTCTCGGTTCATGGGACTGAAGTATGACGTAATCCCCCTCACCACTCCATTGTCCCCGCACTGGAACAACATTGGCTCGTCCAACTCGTTCACGTCAGCTGCAGGAGAAATCCAAGGTGTAGAATGAACTGACATCAATCAGTCACTTAAACCCCTGGGAACTGCTAGATCTAATACAGACATTGGAAACGTTAACTATATATATAACGTTGGCAACCAGGATTACAACATTACAACACATTACAGTGAACGAGTATGGATTGACGTCGCTTTTAGCATAATTCCAGCAATATCACGGCGGTGGACCCGGGTCTTCATCGTGATGAGAGGTTGCTTTAACCACTAGGCTACTCTCCCCCGCCCCCCCCCCCCCCTCCAGCACACACGCACGTACGCACGCACGCACATAATACAGTACTATTATACTAGTAACACATAATCAAATCAAGTGCACGTAGACATCTGTGTTGTATACTTTACACTTGTGCTGACAATAGCGGTTTGTAAATACATGAGTCGAGTGATTGACATCATGAACATCGATCTAAAAAATGTGATACAATTACATGCGTCAACGAAGTCAGTTAACCTGACCACCCGATCCCGTTTGTCGCCATGGGTTACTGAAGATCTATTGCAAAACACGCTGTTTCAGTCGAATGATATTAACTTACTGTTCCATTCACACTCTTCCGTAGTATCCGTCTGCGCACACCGGAAGTCCCAGATTCTGTCTTCCGCCCAGCTTGAATGGACACTGGACAGGGCTACCAATGAGTTGCCACTCGGACACAGTATCCGGAACGGAGCGCCAAGCCTTGTCATCCAGGCACGTGTGCACGTGCACAAAATAGCTAGAGCTAGCACGTGCAACTGAAAGAAAGGGATATGGAATGACTCTTGAACTATGCCATTTGTGAACAACTCGTGTTATTCTCGGTCAAGCCGAATAGCGACTCGTGCCCCTCGATAACAATTTCATAATGGCATAGAACATAAAATTACTTCAACCAAGAACGATAACTCTATTTCCGATTAATTCCGAACATTATTGAAGCCCTGTTTTCGAAGGATATTAAGCTGTTTTAAATATCAACAACCATGATAATGGTAATGATTTGTTGCAAACATTTTATAATTAGCTGCTCACCTTCTATTATCAACTCCGCCGTGATATTGCTGGAATATTGCTAAAAGCGGCGTAAAACCATACTCACTCACTCACTCTATTATCAATTACATATTTCTAAATACAGTTTAAGAATGGGAATTGGAATGTAGATGGGAATGTTTTCTTGAATTGTCAATTAAAAAGTATTTATTTGTTAGCTGTAATATACAAGTTCACAAGAAAGACTTATATCTCTAACTGATCAATTCTTATCATGTTCGTGCGAACGGTTTCTTCCTGTTATAACCTTGCTGACATACCCTTGGTGGTATTTACAATGAATACCGTGAAGAAATGTGAATGACCCCTGAAATGTCAGAGTAAAATATCCCAGTAAAGTAACATGTCAGTACAATGTTTAGGGATTAGGGTAGTCTTTCGTACAGACCCTGAAGCAAATATATCCACGAAAGCCCACGCAAGTCTAGAAAATGTGGCAAGTCTAGATTTCCACAGCGTCTGAAAATGAAGAAAGTCCCTAGGCTCCTTCATATTATATTTACAATCATAATTTAAAAACTTATATTTTCTGTAAAACATGTTCATTTCACAGACTAGCTGCTAGTCTAGGATTAGGGCTCGGCCAATTGTTGTTTTCTATATTTTCTATTTCTCATCAATCTATGACGGTGGCTTGTACATGATCGAATCATTACTAGACAAACGATTGATATTATGAGCACCGATGTGCGATGACACCTCAGCAATCACCGTGCCTGACCATCTGACCACTGAGTCGCCTCTGAAGGCAATATTACGTTCTGATGACCTCCTGTCCTGACAAATCCACACGGGGTCGGTCTATTATACAAATACAGAGACCAATAATATTACATCACTAAGGATAAGGCATATTCATGCACTCCAAAGCCGGGAGGGGCGTTGTGGTAGCCTATTGGTTAAAGCGTTCGTTCGTCTCGCCGAAGACGCGGATTCGATTCCTCACATGGCTACAATGTGTGAAGCCCATTTCTGGTGTCACCAGCTGTGATATTGCTGGAATAGTGCTTAAAACGGCGTAAACCCAACTCACTCACTCCAAAGCCGGGGCACGATCAGCTTAGTTCGAAACCAACATTTTCAACACTATATACTCCGACTACTGAAGTCTTAAGAAAATAAGTTTTAAGCCCATTTCACTCACTCAGTGATGTACAGAAATACATATACGTCTAACTGACTTACAACCACTCAAAGATTCATATATATATATAGCAAATGTACACATCGATGCACATTTAAAGGTTTTTGAGCCTTAGATAATTAACAGGTTGACTTGATATCCTTGAATGAAGAATAACCCGCGAGCTTGAAGGATAAACAGATTATCTGTCTCGAATTCAGAAACATTAATTTCGTTTTTGAGGGACAGGTAATCCGTGATACCGATTAATTTGATCACACAAAAACATTCATAATTTAAGAATAGATGACAAAATCATATGACGTCACGTTGTTGGCTTCTTCCAGTGAAAACAATGGGACAATTGGAATGAACAACCAATAAGCATGAAATAAACATTATAATGCTCAGTGGGATTTACTGAAATTATTTCTATATCTATGCCCTTATGTGTAATATTACAGTAATATAATCATGATAAGCATCATATTCCTGCGAGATACATACCAGCATCGTCCTCGTGCGCTGTTTTTCCAGTTCAAGTGTGAGATGAACTCACAAGGCGGAAGACGCACCCCGGGGACACCAAGAGTGATTTACCTGGTGGATCACAGTCGCCCGCAATCTTCCTTGCCTGTTCAAGCCTTGAGGCGTTGAAGAAATATGTTTGCTTGCGAAAACCAAGTAATGAGATAAACTAATTGGTCCATTAACTAGTATAGAATTGAATCTGCCCCATATTGATGCAGTCTCTAAATGATATTGTTATTGTTCGTTTTATTTCCTTTCATATTTCGTTCCGTAAAGAAAATTAGTTTTTACGACTTTAGCACTTGTCGACGTGTGTGTTGTCACTGATGTATGTTGTCATATGAGAGTGCCCATGTGTGTGTTGTCACTGAAGTCTGTTGTCATGTGAGAGAGCCCATGTGTGTGTTGTCACTGAAGTCTGTTGTCATGTGAGAGTCTAGTCTGTTGTATAGACCCTGAAGCAAATATATCCAAGAAAGCCCACGCAAGTCTAGAAAATGTGGCAAGTCTAGATTTCCTCAGCTTCAGAAGAAAGCCTCAGGGCTCCTTTTCATTATATATATATTTTTTTAATATGAACTTTTTTCAGCAAAATATGCTCATTTCAGGGACTAGTTGTTAGTCTAGTGAGAGTCCCGACGTGTGTGTTGTCTATGATGTCTGTTGTCATGTGAGAGTGCCGACGTGTGTGTTGTCACTGATGTCTGTTGTCATGTGACAGTGCCGACGTGTGTGTTGTGACTGATGTCTGTTGTCATGTGAGAGTGCCGACGTGTGTGTTGTGACTGATGTCTGTTGTCATGTGAGAGTGCCGACGTGTGTGTTGTGACTGATGTCTGTTGTCATGTGAGAGTGCCGACGTGTGTGTTGTCACTGATGTCTGTTGTCATGTGAGAGTGCCGACGTGTGCGTTGTCAATGATGTCTGTTGTCATGTGAGAGTGCCGACATGTGTGTTGTCACTGATGTCTGTTGTCATGTGAGAGTGCCGGCGTGTGTGTTGTCACTGATGTCTGTTGTCATGTGAGAGTGCCGACGTGTGTGTTGTGACTGATGTCTGTTGTCATGTGAGAGTGCCGGCGTGTGTGTTGTCACTGATGTCTGTTGTCATGTGAGAGTGCCGACGTGTGTGTTGTGACTGATGTCTGTTGTCATGTGACAGTGCCGACGTGTGTGTTGTCTATGATGTCTGTTGTCATGTGAGAGTGCCGACGTGTGTGTTGTCACTGATGTCTGTTGTCATGTGAGAGTGCCGACGTGTGCGTTGTCAATGATGTCTGTTGTCATGTGAGAGTGCCGACATGTGTGTTGTCATGTGAGAGCGCCGACATGTGTGTTGTCATGTGAGAGTGCCGACATGTGTGTTGTCATGTGAGAGTGCCGACATGTGTGTTGTCATGTGAGAGTACCGACATGTGTGTTGTCATGTGAGAGTGCCGACATGTGTGTTGTCATGTGAGAGTGCCGACATGTGTGTTGTCATGTGAGAGAGCCGACATGTGTGTTGTCATGTGAGAATGCCGACATGTGTGTTGTCATGTGAGAGTGCCGACGTGTGTGTTGTCACTGATGTCTGTTGTCATGTGAGAATGCCGACGTGTGCATTGTCACTGATGTCTGTTGTCATGTGAGAGTGCCGACATGTGTGTTGTCATGTGAGAGTGCCGATGTATGTGTTGTCACTGATGACTGTTGTCATGTGAGAGTACCGACATGTGTGTTGTCATGTGAGAGTGCCGACATGTGTGTTGTCATGTGAGAGTGCCGACATGTGTGTTGTCATGTGAGAGTGCCGACGTGTGTGTTGTCACTGATGTCTGTTGTCATGTGAGAATGCCGACGTGTGCATTGTCACTGATGTCAGTTGTCATGTGAGAGTGCCGACGTGTGTGTTGCCACTGATGTCTGTTGTCATGTGAGAGTGCCGACGTGTGTGTTGTCACTGATGACTGTTGTCATGTGAGAGTGCCGACGTGTGCATTGTCACTGATGTCAGTTGTCATGTGAGAGTGCCGACGTGTGTGTTGCCACTGATGTCTGTTGTCATGTGAGAGTGCCGACGTGTGTGTTGTCACTGATGTCAGTTGTCATGTGAGAGTGCCGACATGTGCATTGTCACTGATGTCAGTTGTCATGTGAGAGTGCCGACGTGTGTGTTGCCACTGATGTCTGTTGTCACGTGAGAGTGCCGACGTGTGTGTTGTGACTGATGTCTGTTGTCATGTGAGAGTGCCGACGTGTGTGTTGTCACTGATGTCTGTTGTCATGTGACAGTGCCGACGTGTGTGTTGTCACTGAGTGTCTGTTGTCACGTGAGAGTGCCGACGGGTATATTGCCACTTGCGTCTACTCTCTACATATGAATATGGAAATGTTTTTGTTTCTTTAGGGTATTTGGAGTTGGCCACCTTCGTGTATTTTTGTAATGAAGTTCATGTATGTTGTCATTTGTGTGAAGTCGGTGTTTGCTGTCGTATGTTTTGACAATATACTGTATATATGTTATGGCTCCTGTACTTACAAATGTGTACGGTGTTTTGCGTGAGTTGATGTTTATCAATATATCTGTTGCAATGGCGCTGACATGGACATATTTTTTACTTCACCTGCTTTCGATTTCGATTTAATATATTGTCTTTGGTAACAATTGTTTTTCAATCCCTTGTATACTGGAGAATCAGTATTGCATTTCTATACACGTTTTTACTCAATGATTTGTATATTGACACACAGCAGCACCAATCTGCAGAAGTAGCCATAAATTATTGAAAATTATTTCCACGTTTTTGTTTGTTTGTACTTACATATGCAAAATGGGCGATTTTAAAAATATAGCTAAAAAGGGGCGACCCTCAGTATAAGTCAATGTAACTGTTCCATCACCCATTCGTCGATGTCATGCGTGTCAGTACATTGACCCCTGGGACACCAACACGCCCCTTTGCCGCTAGGGTGCAGTCTACATTCACCTGTCCCGGGGTCACATATGATCGATGACGGACCAAGTGGGCCCTCACCGTGACAGTCACGGTGGTATATCGCTAATCACTCAAGGGTTGACCTATCAGTATTGCTATTTCTTGTTAGTACATACTGTAGGCAGTATGACGTGGAATGTTTAATTGACACAGTTAATTTATAAATTGTGGGGTAAAATCTGGGGATTTTTTAAAATTAATTATTAGCATCTGTAATTGTTACACAATCTCAGCCACGGTCACCATGGAATATAGAGCGGCCATTTTCATGAAGCGTCATAAAATGTACATATATTTCCCACTATTGACACTCCAGTTCTCTAAGAACTCAAACCAAAATGCAAACTGGATGATCTGCTTATTGTTCTATGATTACAAATACAACAAATTGTAACAAAATTACGCTAGTCATGCTCTCAGTTATATTTACTTATTTACGATTGTTTGAATAGACCGTCGATTGTCGAAGCGGCGCAAAAATAAACTCACTCACTCACTCACTATCGTAGCTATCCCGGTCTTCCTGAGCTACAAACATCACCAGAGTTATGTTCCTTACAAATCAAAACAAATAACAAACAAGTGGTGAAACAAATTGATATTCTTTACTGGAACATCATAAATTATCAATTTTACTTAGCAAAGCTTAAACATAAATGCTCTAATATATGAAAATAGATTATATAGCAACAATCGCAAAATAGCTCATGAAAGTATAACAAGTATCTGGTTATCACACAGATAAAGTTCCAAGAGGTTACTTTTGTCAAATACATGATCATGAACAAGGTATTTGCCAAAACGAGGGTAAATTGTATAGTGTTTTAGTTTCGACACTTAGCATTTTATCAGTCTGGTGATAACCCACCAAACATGATACAAGTCAAGAAAGGTAACACTGACCAATCACGTATCAGGGACGCAATTAAGCCAGGTAACATTGACCAATAGTGTGTTAACTGTACACGTGAGACTGGAGAACATCGTCCAATCACGGAGCAGGCATACACTTGAGTCTGTCAAACGCCGCCTTCTCCAGCTGTTCCCTGTGGTTGGGGTGAGCTATCTTGATCAACTCGTAGGCTCGCTGTCGCAGACTCTTGCCGAACAAGAAGGCGATGCCGAACTCTGTCACCACGTAATGCACGTGCGCTCGTGTTGTTACAACTCCAGCACCTGTAAACGTGTGAAAAACACGTACATTTGGAACACATGATGTGCTAATCGTTGAGGACTTAGTCATGTAAACCCTTATTTTAGTTTCTCATTAAACTATTTATTTGTGTTTAAACGTAAAGAAAACATAACCAATCTGTCCGTGTGAGCGAATGTTGTTTCATTGGCACACGCAATTTCCCCGCGCCGAGTATCCAGCTGCAGTACGAACAGCGATCAACATCAGTTTCGCCGCTTGTTAAAAATACATAGTCATATTCTAATTCGACGGTGACGTCCACGTTTAGGCGTCATTTGTTGGAATAGAGATACATTGTATTCATACTGACCGCAGATCATAATCGGGCATAATACGTGAAGATACCCGTGAAGATCCAGGTTAGAACTGATCTTCAGCAACCCATTCTTGTCGTTAGAATCGACTAACGGGACTTGGTAAACTCTCTGACTTGGCTGACACACGTATCGAGTAGACCAATGATTATGATGTTAGTTACTGGATTGTCTGGCTAAGACTTGGTTGTTTACAGACGACCCATGCAGCATGGAGTCAAACAACAAACAAACAAACAAAAAGTAAGTAAAAAAGATTCCCCAGTAGTGTCTCGTCACTGGCAGCCGGCGAGACAATCGCTATTCTACCCACCCGCTCCCTTCAAAAGGTGTCTTACCCTCTTTGATGAAAGGAGATATCTTCGATTCCCCCTTCTTTGTCTGTGAAGGAAGAGCTATGATGGGTTTGCCCTTCCCGTCCTGCGAGAGGGCTGCACCTCGTATAAAGTCCACCTGACCACCGAAACCTGAAGCAATGGATGCATATTCACCAATACATCATCCGTGTACATGACGTGAATCTCTTAAAACTCTACGAAGGTTTGACGTCATGTGTATCTGCTAAACAATTATATGTTGTCATGGCTACTCCGGATACTGACACACAACAATCTTGAGAAATTATTTATGCTTTGTGAGTTGAACCAAGTATTAGCTGCTGCCCCTCCTCCTCCCCCTCTATCTACTACTACTACTACTACTACTACTACTACTACTACTACTACTACTACTACTACTACTACTACTACTACTACTGCAAGAAGCGACTAACGGCATCGGGTGGTCAGACTCGCTGACTTGGTTGACATATGTCATCGGTTCCCAATTGCGTAGATCGATGCTCATGCTGTTGATCACTGGCTTGTCTGGTCCAGACTCGATTCTTTACAGACTGCCGCCATATAGCTGGAATATTGCTGTGTGCGGCGTAAAACTAAACTCACTCACTCATTAGTAGTAGTAGTAGTACTACTACTACTACTACTACTACTACTATTAATATTATTACTACTACTACGCCTAGAGATATTTCGAACTGTAAATATAAATATATAAAGTTTATACTTGCTCGCTTTTTTCTGACTTCTCATTCACAGTTTGTTGTGTGAGTCCACAGAGTGAGTGAGTGAATACAGTTACACGCCATTTCAGAAACATTGCAGGTGCATCACCGAGGGTGCTACCAGAAATTGCCTTTACACATTGTCCTCATGTAGGGAATGAAACCCGGGCTCTCGAGTAACTATGCTACTCCACCAGCCCTCTTACCTGAGTACATTCTTGTTGCTATTGAATCAGACACCACCTGGCCGCTGAGATCCACTTCAATAGCTGAGTTAATGGCCGTCACCTTGGGATTCTGGGAAATAATGGCTTCACTGTTACTGTAGGCCACGTCGACCATTACTGGAAGTGAAAACGTTTCAGAATAACTGCATCAATTGTTAATTAACGTCACCAGCTCCTCTCAAGGTCACGTCAACCTTTCTGGAAGCAATTTCAAGCATTACAAAGTATCTGCATCAATCGTTATTGAACCGCAAGAGTTCCTCTCAAAATCACGTCAACCATTACTCTAAGTAATGTCAAGCATTACAAAATATCTGCATCAGTCATTATTGAATGTCAACAGTTCTTCTGAAAGTCAAGCCAATCACAAATGTAAGTTTTTCAGCAGCATTACAAAATATGTATGGCAGTCTTAATAGAAGATTACGTCAACAATTCTGGTACCTGGAAGCAGTGCCAAGGATTAAAAACATCTTCGTCATCGGCTACATTTCTATTTACTGGAAGCATTGTCAAACAAGGCAAACTTCCTACGTCATTATTTCTGAAGCCAACATCAACAGTTCTCTTAAAGAGAACCACTACCGGAATTATTGTCCATCACTACACAATTTCAAAGTCAATCAGTATTGAAACCATCTTCAGCTGTACCCATCGAAACGTACCAACAGAAGGATTGTTGTCGAGGAAGTCGTAAAGTTTACGTGAGCCGATACAGAAGCTGGAGAGAGTTTTGCCGGTATGGATGACCTTCTTAGAGTTGGTGATGGCGCCGGTCTTCATGAGGTCCACGACGCCGTCACTGATCATCTCCGAGTGGATGCCAAGATCACGGTGGCTCCCTAGTTCTGCCAGGACCGCGTCTGGGATCGAACCAATTCCTAAAACGAAGATCGGTATATTGTTGTTGTTGTTTACATTTCAGACAGCAATATCCCAACTGTATTGCGACGACCTGCAAAGCGCTCAATCTGATCCAGACAATTAAGCATGGATTGATATTACGCCCATGGGTTGCAATGTCATGAAAGCTGCAAAATCTGCTTATCATCAAATCTGACCGCCTGTATCGGGCCGGGTCGTCGTCAAAAGCGCCAGTTGCAATGATCTGTTCTCAGGTCTGAATCCTGAATTCTCACTGCGTTCTCACACAATGATTCTTGATGCGGCATAATCGTAATTGTTCTCAGTGAGGTCGCTTTGCAGACAGAGTTTAACGTTGGGAGACTGAATGCAGGTTTGCAATGTAAGAGAGCATCGGACTTATTGATTATTTGTCAAGGCGCTGTAAATCTATTTTAGGACACTCTGTGCATGTATATTTGATTGAAATCTGTGCAATGATAATAAAACACCGAGAGTTTGAACAATATTTCAGATACATCACGGCTGTTATCCAGTCGCATGTGAGGTGATCAGCTTAATGGGCTTGCCTAAATTTACGCGCTTCAGTAAAACGCACTTATCGTAGCTCGTTGGTTGTTTCCGGGGCCATGCACAATGACAACAAATAGATGATGTGGCTCAGTTGCTATGCATAGGTATGCCATGTCACATTTCATACCGATCATTTCAAGAAATGAATGGTCCACGAAAAATTGGGCATTGTGTATGTAATGTATTGGAAACCAGGAATGAGTGGGTGAGTGTGTCAGTTTAGTTTTACGCCGCACTCAGCAATATTCCAGGTATATGGCGGCGGTCTGTAAATAATCGAGTCTGGACCAGACAATCCAGTGATCAACAGCATCAGCATCGATCTACGCAATTGGGACATGGCAGCGAGTCTGACCACCCGATCCCGTTAGTCGCCTTTTACGACAAGCATGGGTTACTGAAGATCAATTCTAACTCGGATCTTCACGGGTCGAACACCAGGAATGAGTTTCAACTCAAAGGGTTTTGAATTTGTCGCTGGCGCCTTAAAATGTGGTCGATGTTTGTTTGTTTCTTGTTCAACGTCGCACTCAGCCATTTTCTAGCTGTCTGTTTATAATCAAGTTTTAATTAGACAATGAATTAGATCGATGAACACTATTGGGATAGAACGCCATTCACCAACTAAGTCTTTATGACATTTACCTACCTGTCTTCACGAATCTTGTGGTCGGGTACATATGCCATCCTTAACGATAAAACATCCTGGACGAGGTTCTGTGCTATGAACTTGCCGATGGCGCTCTCCTCAGGGGACATAACTCTCTTCTTGAGTTCAGGCAGGGGTCTGTCCTCGGCGACCATGGCGTCAAAATGGGACTGGTGTATCAGACCATCGCCGAATGTCCGTGGCATTTGCTTGTTCACCAGACCTAAAAAAGAATGAACCAGAGAGCTGGGTTAGCGCTGCTGTAATATACACGTATTTCAGTCAGATAAGGCGTTCCTGGGTTGACATACGGTTCAACCTACCTGTAGGTGAAGATGAATTGGGATGGCTGAATAAATAACACAATAGGCCGACATTGGGGTTCAGATCCTGGAAGTTAGGAGACGCAACTCTGCACAGATTGATACGACGTCTCATCAGACAATTCGGTCTCCCATTTAACGAAAGCAAAGTGCACCTGATCCTAGTTTCGGTAGGATAATTGAAAACCAAAAAGATCAGATGCGTTTGCAAAATATACATGCACTATAACGTAATACAAACGAGTGCTCTTTCCATTGGGGTGGTTTGGAAATCTGGAACTCTGACCGGAAAACGGCCTGTCTCTATTCCCCCCTTCCCTTCACCCCCAAATACGAAAACAAACAAGCAGACAGGTCGCTGCAGAAACAAACAATTTTGTAGTGGAATTGAGACACATTTTGTATTGACATGTTAGTCCCGATTAACGAATTCCCAAAAATGTACCTATGATATACTTGGCATTCTGGACAGCAGCCCTAGCACAGTCCACACTGGTACCCAGGGAGCAGTAACCATGGTTATCAGGGGGCGTCACAGAAACCAGGGCAACATCAAGATTGATGATATGTCGGCGGAAGAGCAGCGGAATTTCCCCAAGGAAGATCGGAATACAGTCAGCTCGCCCTGAGTTGATTGGCTCTCGTAGATTGCCACCAATAAAAAATGAATTTGACCTAAAATGATCTGAAACAGTAGAATATATTGTAATATGCTAACTGAAGCACAACATACAACGACAATAATAGTTCTTTTTAATGCTTCCCAGTATGTATCTGGGGCGATTGGGTAGCCTAGTGGTTATGGCGTTCGCTCGTCATGCGAAAGACCCGGGTTCGATTCCCCACATAGGTACAATATGTGAAGCCCATATCTGGTGTCTCCCGTCGTGATATTGCTGGAATATTGCTAAAAGCGGCGTAAAACTTAACTCACTCACTCATTTTATGTCTGAACTTATCAGAAACAG